GATGCTGAGCTAGAGACAAAGCATCACCTTTTGATCTCTTTATCGCAGCTTTTCTTAATTCCAAAAGTGGAATGTTTAAATTTATCCTTTATTTTAGAGATTGATTCCAAGAAAAGGGAAAATCTGGTGATGATTTTATTTCTCCTGCTAGATAAAGTCTGAGTAGGAGAGTAAAACCAGCTCCAAAGTGGAAATCTGCACATTGGCATGATGGTTACAGTTTTGCTTGGTTAGTATCCCGCCTAATGTTCTAGGATAAATGCAGACATTTGCATTAAAGTACTATCACCATACAGCATCTTCATCTTAGGGAACCAGTGTAGACAGTAATGGACAAAATATTTGTACACCTTAGAAAATCTGTGTCTCAGTAGAGCTTTTCCTGGTGTGTATAGTGTATTTACACATGGAATTTTACACATGATTTTTGCCCACTTGTCAGTCAAATCTTTTAGCATCCCTGACAAGTGAGCTGTGGAGGCTGCAGTGATTTATCTACAATGACCCCTGTTCCTGCACAGGTTCCTGCTATGTGAGCAGTGATGCCATATTGAGGTGTCCCTGTCACACATCATTGTGTTCCTGTCATGGCATAGAGACCCTGTCTAGGTTTGATGCTGAAGGTCTGGGAAGCTGTGAAATAGCTGAGATCCAAGCACCTGTGGAGTTATACTCATCCTCCAGCCTCCCTGAGGTGCAAGGGATGGGGAATGGAGAGTCAGGGTGGGGACAGCTAAAGAGGCAGAGCTGGGCTCACTGGTGCTTGCTTGTCAAGCATTTTCAGCACATCTGAGTCATTCAGTTATTTACTAGACACACAGATGCCTTGCAGAAGAGAGAAATAAAAAAAGCTTTGTTTTCAGTGTAAGAAATCTTGGTTTGGTTTTATCCAGTATACGTAGCAATGCTTAAGGCATGTGGTTCAGAACCAGCCATGCCTACCAGAGATGGGAAACCGCAGCTCTGTTGGGAACCTGTGGGCTTCTGAACCCAAAATAAAGGTAAAAAGTAAAAGATTCATTGTGTTAGGATGCTAACAGTTCCCTGCTTAATTCACACCCATGCCTCACATAGCTGTTCTTAGTATGTGCAAGAGTGGTGTAGAGGCAGCCAAAAAAGCTGCAGGTAGGATAATTTGCACAGAAAATTATGTTGACTGCACTGAATATTAACATATTATTGTAAAGCAGCTCTGAAAATTGCATTCTACTAATCCATTCAATCAATGAAAACACGTATTTACAGAGACAAGCTATTGTAAAAGAGTACAGTTCTCAGCTAGCTAAGAACATATTTTCTCTCATGTTTATCTTGATTGTATCCCCAAAGGATATTTCTTCCTCTCTTTTATGAAGAATTATTTCCATATTTAATTTATATGTACATTTTTTGCTTTTCCTGGAGGACTGGAAATATTTTCTGACTTTTGCAGTCAGCTGCAAAATGTGTTATTGAAATACTTTTAGTCCCCTTATTTGAAAATCTATTTTTTGTGTCTTTCAATACTGCTGTGTGCTTCTGGATTATAGTTTACCTCCCTTTGTGAACTTGCCTCAGAAAGAGTCTCCATTCAGCTACCTGAAGGGTCACTTGATTCAAATTCTCTTTCATAAACTCCCGAACATTTCTTCTCAAGCCAAGACCTATTTTCAATAACCAAACATACGTATTGCGCGTAGTTTTCCTGAACTACTCCAGTGCCTCATGTTTAACTTTGTATTTTTTTTGTATTTTTTGTTAGAGGAGTGCCAGTCCTGTTAGAGCTGGAGCAGGCTGTATTTCACAGGGTCCACTGCAGAACTGATGAGCTCCACAGGGGCTGCTGCAGGCTCTGAAGTTTGGCAGCTCCCTGTAGAGCTCAGACGTTCTTAGTTCCTGAACCAAGCATAATTGCTGAGTTGGGACCTTCACTGTGAAGGACCTCACCAAACAATTAGCTGTCCTAATTAGGCAGCTGCTTTTGTCACTGAATAACATTCAGGAAAGTCAACATTTGTGGATCAGAAAGTTGCAAAGCTGATGGGTGCTGGCAATAACTTTCTGTTTCTGCTTACTGTCAGAAATCACTGCTAAATTACAGCATGTAATCTTGGCAAGTCTGAGAGCTTTTTTCTCTGGATGGGGGATATTCTGCCATCAGAGTGCCTAGACTTTATGGGCTTTTTGGAAAAAAAGCTGTTACATATTGTATTTGTTCATCTCACAGAATGAATTGTGACATGCTATTTCATCCTTTTTGTTTGGTCGAGTTTTTGTTTTGCCATGGCAAAACCTTCTATTTGAGGCAAATCTAAACTGCAAAGTTATAACTATACAGTGCATAGTGATTTCTGAGGCCATTTAGGAGGACATTTTTTCTGGATTCACCTTATGCACCAGAATGCAAAACCCAAAAAATGCCAGATTTAGAAGTGCAGAAAAACAGATTGTAGGAAAAAACTATCAAAACTCTTTCTCTGTTTGTTTGTAATTTTTGATGATGGGTAACATTTAAGATAAACCAACATTCTGAGCCACAGTCAAACAAAACACCGACTGTTTTTTTTTAATTTTTTTTTAAAGTCTAAGAACCTTCCTCTCTTCCATAAGTGTATGTCAAACACTTGATGATCCTTAACTCTTTGGAGGTGGGCATGGCTCTGTAATATTGAAAGTTACAAGCGCATATAAAAAGAAATATGATTTGTTGTTGTTGGTTTTCTTCTTTTAGATATTTATAACAGCTCACAACCATTTCCAGAGTCAGTTGGTAAAATGAAAATCTAGATTCCTGATTTTTAATTGTATTTCAAGCTATAACTAGATGATTTAGCACAAGACATTACTTTTCTCTTAATATTTTGCTCTATCTCATGGGCTTTGGTGGTGGTTTGTTGTTGTTGGTTTTTTTTTTACTTGAAATAACTAATGTATTTGAAGAGGATGGGGAAGAGGGACAATGGCCCTTAACTTGTCTGCAAAGCAGATGCATGTCTTTTATCAGATGGATCATGGCTAGTTCCAAAGATTTTTAATGGAGACATTAAAACCCACAGGCTTTCAAGCAAGGTGGAGAAAAACAAACATGATAGTGAAAAAACCCCAAACTGTAGAAGAAAGTGCACAGAGGCGGCTGGAGCTGATTGGAAATATTACTGAATCTTAAAGCCAGATCTCTTTGACAAATGAAATAGGGCTGGTTTTGTGAAGTCTGGGGAGCCTATTCTTTCTTACCAAACTACGCCTCCCTAATTTTGCTTGAGTAATTGCATGAGAGGTGAGACCGAGTCAGGGAAGAATATGAGGCTGTACAGCAATTAATGAGCTGTTTCAGCCCCAAAAAATCAGTCTAACAGGCTGGTCAGGGCCTTGGAAGCTATTAACCTTGATTTGAAAATCCTAAGACTTGACAGGTGGGGCAAAGCAGGGCTGTCTTAAAGAAGTTTAAAAGTTCATCTTTTTCTCTCTTCTTTCTCATATGCTCACTGGTGAAATGCTGCCTGACTTTTTTTAACGTTTATTTTTTCAATTGTGATTTCTTATTGCATAGCTTGACCAAGGTGCCTTGCTACTGTGCTACCTATCTGCAAATTATTTGCGGTTTGTCCTTCTTCCTGATGAGAAACCAGTTTATCTTAGGCACTTGTTTATGGCTACAGAAATCTCACGTGTTCTTTCAGGTAATTTTGTGTTACGAGAAACATGTTGCTCCATGAAGAATGACTTACTTTGAATCAAATAGGACAATATTTGTGTTGATCAGCTGCATTTCTGTCCACAGATACTGCTGCACATTAAAACAAACATGCTGTGGACATGAATTAAGGGGGAAGATATGACATGGACATATCTTTAAAATAATAATAATGTTTTTAAAAAAAGAATAAAAAGAATAAATAGTTGCCAAGAATAACTTCATCTGCAAGTGCTTCTTAAATGTGCTGCACATTTGTTTTCCTTTAGAGGATGGGTGGGTAGGCCTCTTCACATGTGGGTACCATATACTGACCTGTTGTGGTTGTGTGACGATCTGATTTAGATTAAAGGCTTCAGGTCTTTCCTAATCTGGATTGTTTTGACTGACCCAGGCTAAGGAGCACAGATACAGAGGTAATGCTTGCAGATGTCATGAGGTTATGAGAAGCAATTTAGGACAGTAGTCTGTTCCAGCTGCAACAACAAAACAGCAAGCACCATGGACATGGTTTGGCTGATCTGTTTATATTCTGTGTTTCTTCAGTTTAGTTATGCATTTTGTCAACAACCCACAAAAATAAATCCATTTTCTGCCACCTGCAGAAAAAGAACAAATATTCTTACCCCCTGCTAGTCTTTAGCCAAAATAAAGTGGTTTTCCTGGATTTGCCTCAATCTTAAATGCAACTGAGTAGCTTTCCTCTTTCTACTACTTGTTAAATAATGTTTAAAAACTGATTTATGTGTTTTAAAACTTGCTTGTCCAGTCTTGAAAGATTTTACAGAGTGTTTTTCTCAGTTACTGGATGCAATCTGTGCTTCTAAATGTGTTGACTTAGCTGCATGTCTCAGAATTTCTCTGGAAATAAAAGGACATCAAAACCACTTCACTGCATCACATGCAGCTATGTCTGCTATAAATCTGCACACCTTCTTCTGTGCCCCCCTAAATTCTGACACATATTAGAGAAACTGTTGTACTTTTATGACAGTTTGTAATATCTGTCTTTGCTGTTTAATGATGAATTTTTATATGGTTGTCAAGATCTGTTGAATATCTCCAACTTTCTCACTTGACACAAGGAAAGAAACATATGGAAGTATAACCTGATATAGTATTGTGGGTTTGTCTTAAGTTGTTTTTCTTCAGCTTTTTGTAAAGTAACTGCTTTGTTTCACCAGGTATGTGCCCCTTATGCAGTAAAGCAGAGGTCTACAGATGTTATCTCCGCAGAACAGAGAGTGCCTTTGTCTTTATTGAAAATTGTAGATTTATACATGATTGCTTTCTTTTTTTTGTCTTTTCTCTTTTCAAATAATTGTAGGTTCATGTACTGGACAGACTGGGGAGAAGTGCCAAAGATAGAGCGAGCTGGGATGGATGGTTCAAGCCGTTCCATTATCGTTAACACAGACATATATTGGCCAAATGGACTGACACTGGATTATGAGGAACAGAAGCTCTATTGGGCAGATGCTAAACTAAATTTCATCCACAAATCAAATTTGGATGGAAGTCATAGGTAAGAAGGTTTTGTTTAATGTGTGTAATGTGGGGATTTTCTTAAAAGATGCTGCCTAAGCAGTATGATAACCTCTGTTGTGTCAAATTGTCATGTTAGCACTAGCAAAATTTTAAGCAAACTAGTGCTGTCAGAAACTTTTATTCTTCACCATTCTCACCTTTCTAGCACTGAAGTGGAATATGTGCTTCTCTTCAGGCTATCCTGTAACTGTCCCAATGACTTTTCTCAGAACCACTTCCAGTTTTTAATTGTGTAAGACTATATAGCGAAATTGTCTCTTTTCAGTAGGTCTTCTGTGCAGTGTTTCAGAAATGCAGAAGATATGAGAAAATGGATCATCATATATTAGCATTTTGGTTTCACTAATCCTAGGGGCTGGGAAATCAGTGGAAATACAGTCCTTACAGGAGAGCTATGTTAAAATGACTGTTTTCCTTGAACAGTTTTATAGCATTGAAGGGATTCTTTTTTATCCAGTCATGGCTACTTCTTAATTAAGGGTATAAGTGGTACTTTGTGTGTATACATTTATCTCTAATTTGGGCAATGACTCTTTTCAATTGATAAGCTTTGACAAGTACTGCTTGCACACACGCATAAATCACAGTTATCTTGTGCCCAAGGTGTCATATGAAGAGATGATTTTTTGTGGGGTTGCTCTTTGCAAATTTTTGTGATGTTTCTGCTAGTTTAGTTGGGCATGAAATAGCCTTTCTTATGCTCTTTGTTCTCTTAGGCTCTTGGCCTAAAATGTTTTCACCATTTTTTGTTAAAAATTAACATTTTTTCACCAAAAATGTTAATTTGACATAAATAAATGAATTCTATTGATAAGACCATTGTTTTGTTGACTAGCAAGTAGGACCACAGGCAACATGCATGAAACATGGCCACTGTTTCCTGTGATATTTATTTTGAACTCCACAATGTCTTTGTAATGCTGGTATGAAAGGTTACATGGCTTTCCTCCTAAGTTCTGCCTTTAAAGTGATCACAAGTTCATGGTGTATGTTTGTAATGGTGTTTCTTTCTGGAAGGTACCTGGAGCTGGATGCAGTTTTAAATTTGTGTCTTTGGATATCAGTATTATGACCAGCTTGGCTAATTCAAAACATGAACTGTGGATATCTATTTTGAAGTAGTCCTTCATCTGCTATTTGTTTCACAAGAAATAAAGCTTAGTACCAAAAAGAGAAATATTTCATAGAGATTCTTTCAAGAAAGGGGACTGTCACATAAGCTTTCAAGTAATGTAGAGAAAAGGACACAAAATATCAGATACAGTAGCAATTTGAGTATTTTTTATTTTATCTGATGTCTCCAGCCTTTCTTGTTCTAGAGCTACTTCAGTGTTTCCTGCTGGCACTTCTGCTTTTTTGACCTTGTTTTGCTATTGACTTCTTTGCAGTTTCTCTCTTGCTGGTGATCTGTTCCACAGTGGTGTAAATATACTTGGGTTTGGTATTCTGTTTTTATTTTCATGGTGTTTATTCTCTGTTCTGCCTTGGTTAACGTGGGGGATGAGGCGGTGGAGGTGCTGAATTTTCTTGGTGCAAGGGGCTGATCAGCCTTGTCTGTGTGTAGACAGCTGTGTCCAACAGCTGCCTCATGGCACAGAAGTGAAGTCACCTAACTCCCAATAATTATCTCATTCCACAGAAAATTCTCTGGAATTAGTTAATCCTGTAATAAAGACCTGTGTGGACTAATAGTTTAGATTTTTAGATCTACTAATTCTTTCTTACACAGCCATAAAAACAGTCAAATGCTTTAAGTTGGATTTATCTTTTAAATTGATACATTTCAGTTATCAGGAATATGTTGTGGCAGTATGCTAATATATTGCTATTTGAGGGGCAGAAAGGGAAGTCATCCTTAGATAAGAAAGCACATATGACTTCCCTTAAGCACTCAGAGGCACAAACCAATTCTGACAGCACCTGTTTTTCCCTAGGCATGTGAGAAAGTTCTGAAGATTGAAAAAAACAGTCAACATCTGTATCCAGGCTCTTTGGTTTCATTTTTTATTCTTTGCAATTGAATCATAAGGGAGGGGGAGGAAAGAACTGCAGAAGTTAGGCTGTTCTACAATGTGGGTTTAGGGATTGTTTTTTTCTTCTGTGACTTCTTAGCCTCTGCCTGTATTAAGAAAAAATATCTTCTGAGGCTCTCCAAAGTTGGGGGTTTTTTTGTGTAGATACTGTGTTTTTGTTATTCAACAAATTCAGGTTTTTCAATGTGATATTTTACAGCTGCAATTCTGTATTTTGTCTCTTAATAATTTTGTTAATCTTTTTCAGTAATTGATATACTAATACTAGAAAAGAAAACACAGTTTCTAATTTTGCAGCCAAAGCAAAAACCTTTTATATTTTTCTTTTCAGTGGAAAACATCCCACCCCAAATCACAAAGCCTTTAGTCTTTTTTCCTAGCCATCTCCAAACCCTCAAAAATAAGCAACTAACAAAAAACTCCACCTAGTTTTCCACCATCACCTTTTAAGAGGGCTGTAGGTTAGGTTTTTTTCCTTAAGAGTTAAATGTGGGGGAGAACAAGATCATTATCAAGTGCCTAATCTAACTTAAACCAGACTCTAGTTTATTTAGAAACTGCCAGTTCTGGTGTTTTCCTTGATATTTAGACCATTCTTCTAAATTGTTGCTTTATATTTATACTTGCTTGCTTTGAGGTTTTTTGTCTCTAAATTTTTCCTGATCAGAACAGATTCTTTTATCCTTGTGAAGTGTAACTAGTTTTTCTGATGCTTTACCTAATGTCTGGGAAAATACATGCTTTTGGAAGTTGGTGCTATTGAAATGAAAAAGGCAAATGAGTTACTGAAAGACATATCTTCATAAAAATTTGGTCTTCTAGATCTGGATAGTTTTAGTTACTTAGGAAAGAAAGCAGATTAGTAAAGATTTCATCTGTCAGGTTTTTTAGTGTTGCATGAGAGGTGGTGGGAAAGAGTCTGTAGCAGGTAAGCAATTATAAAAGCCTCATGTAAAGTAGGGTGGCATAAGTTTTAATTGCTTTGAGAAGAATATTTGGTAGAAACTAACATCCTTCTATAAAAAAAAATTCAAACAGTTCAGAGAAAACTGATTTTGTGGTTTGGAAGATGAAAAAATACAGTGTAAATAGGAAAATATTTTAATTGGTGTCACAGTATGAAAGTATTGAAGTTCAGACCTCAGAGATCTAAATTTGGAAGGAATTCTCTAGAAACTGACAATGTATTTCTAAATCTGTAAGAAATCTGAACCTTTTTATTCTTTTATTCATATAGTCTGAATATTAGCTTTCTACACCTTATACAACACAAGAATTAAAACTTTTAAGATTTATATCTCAGAGAAGTACTTTGATCTGAATCATGGTGTATCCTGTGTTGGGAGGGACCCACAGGGATCATCCAGTCCAACTCCTGGCCCTGCACAAACACCCCAACAATCCCACCCTGTGCATCCCTGAGAGCGGTGTCCAAACACTCCTGGAGCTCTGGCAGCCTCATGGCCATGGCTATTCCTGGGAGCCTGTTCAGTGCCCGACACCCTCTGGGGGAAGAACCTTTCCCTGATGTCCAGTGTGACCCTCCCCTGACACAGCTCCAGCCATTTCCTCGGGGCCTGTCCCTGGTCCCAGAGAGCCGAGCTCAGTGCCTCAGTGCTCCTCTTCCCCTCAGGAGAAGCTGGGACTGCCATGTCTCGCCTCAGTCTCCTCCAGCTGAACAGACCAAGTGTCCCCAGCTGCTCCTCACACGGCTTCCCCTCAAGGCCCTTCAGCATCTTTGTGCCCTTTTTTGGGCACTCTCTTAATAGTTTAATGTCTTTCTTACATTGTGGCACCCAAAACTTCACACAATATTTGCAGCGAGGTGCCCCAGCCCAGAGCAGAATGAGAGAATCCCCTCCCTGGCTTGGCTGGGCCTGGTGCCTGCAGGACAGGGATGTTCCTCCTGGCTCCAGGGCACTGCAGCTGTTGACCAGGACCCCCAGGTCCTTTTCCCTGGCACTGCTTTCCAGCCTCTCATTCCCAGTCTGTCCGTGCATCCAGGGCTGCCCTACCCTGGGTGCATGACGGACATGAATCCTTTGCTTCTTGTTTACAGGGGTCTGGAAAGTTAAAGAGTACAATAGGCTGGTGGGAGGAATATGCAGAGAGAGAAACAAACTATAAGCCTTGATTATTGGGGTTTGGTGGAGTTTTTTTCACCTCTTCCAGTAGGACTGGAGTCACAGAGAGCCACTAAAACTGGCATGCAGCATGACAGCTCTGGCAGTAGTACTCAGTTAAATATGTGGTAGAGTCATAAATTCGTGAGAAAACCTCTCTAGAAAATTTTACAGGGATGATTATGGTTCATTACCTGCTAGCCCTGAGATTTACTAGCCCTAGCTGCTCCAGTGTTGGGTTCATTAGAATAAAGACGAAGAGCAAAGAACTTGATGACTAATGCCCTTGATTTACCAGTGAGAGAAAGTAACAAACAGTTTTTCATGTCAGAATGCAATAATTAAAGAACTAAATTGATGCATAGAAGAGATGGTTTTGGTTTTTTGCAGCTCTTGTCCTGCTCTTATCAGAGAGAACAGTTGCTTTTTGTGGGACTAATTAAACAAAACTGAAATGCAGACAGCTCTTGTGAGTAGAGTCCCCAAGATAGGTTGGCCTGCTAAAGCAGTTCTTGAATTAATTTCCTCTTCCTTTACCCTGCAGCAGCAGTTCTAATTAACGTTAACACGTTACTGGCTGAAGGGAAATGCACTTACAAGGTCCCCCAGGAAGAGTTTGTGCTAATGAGATGGTTTTTGAGGCCACTGTAAGAAAACATACTTTTAGCAACTGTCAGAAAGTGGGAAAGCTCTTGCAAGAGGTGAATGTCTTAAGTTTGTACTTGATCATTGATTTTTCTAGGTTTTTTTTTCAAGCATTGGCTCATGTCTGTCTGCCAGATGATTAGTTGCAGATGTGTTGAAACAGTAAAAAAACTGTA